GTCAGACACAACTTCGCAACTAACAACAAAGCTAGTTACAAAATGTGGGTTGCAGGCATTAATGAAACTTCTGGAACCAAACAGTTCAATTCTCTTCAATTACAACCTTGACGTTCAGATAGGCCCTCGGTCGGGGTCCGCAACCTGTGAGCTGTGGCCTACTACCTGTCAGCAGCCTACTTGCAACCGGGCTGCGTAAGTGGCTGGTTGGTGTATGTGCGTGCCCACACAGGCCTACTCGCGTGCACAGGCCCACTGCCGGGAGTCTTGGAGGGGGTGGGGCTTGCGGCCTCATTCACGCAAGCAACAGGTGCTTGCATGCAGGTACATGCCTGCACCCGCACCCACCACAAAAACCATCCCCTCTCCCCCCACTCTCCGGGCCCACAACCCTGAAAAGTTGAGGAACTCTATCCTAGATAATTTAGCGCTGTGAGATCTGAAGTGAAAAACTTTGATGGCCAACAGATGGCAGTAAAGAGATACAGAAAAAAAATTTTTTGGTGGTGATCCAGATTTTAGGCAGATTTAAGACAAAGAAAAGTTGCTAAACTGTAAATGAATACATTTTAAAAAAAAATTGATTTATATGCCGCCCTTCTCCAGAGACTCAGGGCGGTTTACAATGCGCTAAGCAATAGCCTTCATCCTTTTGTATATTTATACAAAGTCAGCTTATTGCCCCCACAAACTGGGTCCTCATTTCACCTACCACAAAAGGATGGAAGGCTGAGTCAACCTTGAGCCTGGTGAGATTTGAACTTGCACTAATTGCAGGCAGCTGGTCTTAATAACAGGGTGCTTTAGACCACTGTACTACCAAGGCTCTTGCTATTTTGACAATATATGAATTTTGTTCAGTTTGTTTAGTGACCGTTCAAAAAAGAACACCGCTTGGGGGGGCCAAAAGCCCTAATAAGCAGGTATATACATAAAAGTATGCAGGATATTGCTATAATGCATTGTAAGCTGCCCTGAGTCTACGGAGAAGGGCGGCATATAAATTGGACTAATAAATAAATAAATCCCCTTTTGCGACCTTCTGACAAACAAAGTCAATGGGTAATCCAGATTCATTTAACAACTGTGAATTTGTTATAATACCTGCAGTGATTCACTGAACAACTGTTGCAAGGAAGGCAATAAAATAAGGTAAAGGTAAAGGTTCCCCTCGTACATATGTGCTAGTCGTTCCCGACTCTAGGGGGCGGTGCTCATCTCCGTTACAAAGCCGAAGAGCCAGCGCTGTCCGAAGACGTCTCTGTGGACATGTGGCCGGCATGACTGAATGCCAAAGGCGCATGGAACAAAATGGGGTAGAACTAACATTTAACAAATGTTTCGCTTAGCAACTTTTGGGCTCCATTGTGGTCGTAACTCAAGGACTACCTGTGTACTTTCTTTAGTGGAGTCCTTTGTGCTCTCTGAAAGTGATTGTTTGCCTACAAACATCTCATTATCTGATTAGGTAACATCATCAGTACTGATGAGTGTGGGATTTGGTAAATATAATATAAATTTAATATAATATATAATATTATTTATTTATTTATTTATTGGTTCGATTTATATGCTGCCCTTCTCTGGAGACTCAGGGCGGCTTACAATGCATTAAGCAATAGCCTTCATACTTTTATGTATATACCTGCTTAGTAGGCCTTTCGGACCCCCCCAAGCGGTGTTCTTTTTTATACAAAGTCAGCTTATTGCCCCCACAATCCGGTTCCTCACTTTACCTACCTCGGAAGGATGGAAGGCTGAGTCAACCTTGAGCCTGGTGAGATTTGAACTCGCAGTAATTGCAGGCAGCTGGCAGCTAAGTGCTACTTAACAGCACCACCAAGGCTCTATATATTTATAATATATTATCAGAATATAAACTGATAGCAAACAGAACTCCTTATCAGCACTGATGTTGTTACTTAGTTAGGGTAATGAAACGTCTGCAAGAAAACAAGCAAGCTCAGAGACCACCAAGGACCCCTGATTTGGTCCCTGTTTACATACAACAATGTGCCTTTGGTCAACAGAGAGCACAAGAAGGTGGCAAAGCCAGCTGGAATAGTAGGGGTGATGGTGAACTGGAGGCCCAAAAGGCACAAGTGGGTGGGAGATAGGTGAGTGGGGGGAGTTGAAGGGCCCTATCTCTCAACCCTGAAGCCGACCTGACCGAAGCCATCTTGAAGCTTCAGTGTTGCCACACTGGCGATGAGGGATAGGGAGGGGGGATTAGAGATAGCTGGGGTTTTGTAGCCAAAGCAAAATACTTCCTCTTGGGAACCAAGGACATTCTCACACCTGGCCAGAGGAGGGAGGAGTGATGTTGCCAGGCAACCAGAAAGCGTTGTGATTGGACCATGTGACTGATTATTTGGGGCTGAGGGAAAACGTTTACTTTTAATTAGGTGAAAACCGCGTGAACCTTAAGAGTTGGTTTTCAGCAGATCCGTGCCAATATGATACATCCAATGAAGCTATTCTTTGAGGAATCCACCTACTTCTGAGTCTTGCTTGCTATGGGTCTATTACTTGGGACTCTTGACATTATGGTCTTGTGGAAGGCCTGTACACCACTTAAAATTATGTGACCATGGAGACCAGGGTGGGCTGCTGGGGGTTCGCAGGGGTTCGGGAGAACCTCTGCGCAGTTCAGAGAACCCCCAAATCCCACTCCTGGCTGGCCCCGCCCACCCCTCCCCTCCCCTCCCAGGAGTCCCTACATGGCCCGTTTTGGATTTAGGTAAATGCAGGTGCGCACGGAGGCTTGGGGAAGGCGAAAACGGGCCTACCGGAAGTTTGGGAAGGTAGAAAAGGCCTACCGGAAGTTCGGGAAGAGGATCCAGATGGCCTCCGGAGCATGAAGAGGCTATTTTCGCTCTCCCGGAGGCTCGAGGAAAACCTCGAGCCCGGGGAGGGCAAAAACGCCTCCCCCCCCCGGCCGTGGTGCAGGAGGCTGACTAGGCCACGCCCACCCAGCAACTGAGCAGATAATTCCTTGCTAAAATTTTTAAGGCCACCCCTGATGGAGACACTGCAATGGCTGTAACTTCAGGGAGAAGTCATAATTCCATTTTTTTCAGCTCCATTGTAATTTTGAATGGTCATTGAATGAATGGTTACTAGGCGTGGACTACCTGCAAACTACTCCCCACCCCCACTCCCAAGCCTAGGGAATGGCTCTCAAAAGCCTAAGAAGAGTTGGTGCTGAATTGCAATTTTAATTTCACAGAAGGGGGGACAGTCTTTAATACATCAGGAGTAATTAATGTGTGTTTGCTATACCCAGTTTAACTCATTCTTCTCCCAACTGGGAACTTACCATACTCTCAATACAAGCAGTCCTCCATTTACAACTGTAATGGAGCCTGCCCACTGAGGTCATAATTCGTGAAGGTTACAAAGCAGATCATCATGTGATTGACCCAATTTTGGGCAGTCTGGGGAATTCTGGGAGTTGAAGTCCACCCATCTTCCAGTGGCCAAGGTTGGCAAACCCTGCTCTAACCCATTGTTCCTAATTCCAACTCCAAGAGACCACTGCTTTGGTGAGGAAGATTGGCCAAGTGGAAGGATTCACACGTGTCTTCCTAACCACAGGGCCCAGAAATAGGTATTGAAAATATGAATGGAGCCGGAGCAGAACTTTGAAGGATCCTGAGACCAGATGCCATGGGAAAAATTGACCAATGTTTCGTCCCAGGAGAAACCAACTAGAGACAGGACAACCCAGAAGGATCTGTAACAATTTGCCGCGGTCAACTTACCATGGCCCACTTGCCATGGCCAACTCACCATGTGATAACTCGCTGCAGAACAAGAGTTACATTGATATCAAAGAAATGGTGGAATAGAATAATTAAAGGAAGGATGGCAAAGGACGGACAAAATGAAATGTGAATGACAAAAATTAAAACATTTTTTAACAATTTATTTTAAATAATTAAATTGAATCGTTAAATTCGTTGTTATTCGTTAAATTCATTGTTACTGAATCGTTAAATTCGTTAAATTTGCGTAATCGTTGTTACGCAGCAAATTGGCCATGGTGAGTTTTCTCGTGGCAAGTTGGCCGCAGTGGGTTTCCTCGTAGCAAGTTGGCCATGGTGAATTGTCGTAGCAAATTGGCCTCAGCGAGCTGGCTGCGGCCAATTCCAACCCAGGATGTGTCAGAATATTCATGACTGGGAAGACATGGTAACAAGGTTAGCCAATGAATAGGCATAGTAACAAGGTCAGCCAATGAATAGGCATAGCAACTGGGTCAGCCAATAGGACTGTTTGAATAGCTGAAACATAGTATTTGTTTGTTTGGGGCCATAAGAGACAGCTTGGAGTCTGGGCGTGGCTTAGCTTAACTACCCTGTATCAGGGGTGAAATCCAGCAGGTTCTGGATTTCAGAGTGGAAATCCAGTAGTGGAAATTTTGAGTAGTTTGGAGAACCGGCAAATGCCACCTCTGGCTGGCCCCAGGAGTGGGGAGGGAATGGGGATTTTGCAGTATCCTTCCCCTGGAGTGTGGTGGGAATGGAGATTTTGCACTATCCTTCCCCTGCCACGCCCACCAAGCCACAGCACGCCCACCAAGCCACGCCTACAGAACCGGTAGTAAAAAAAAATTGGATTTCACCACTGCCCTGTATAGAGGAGGTTCTTTAAGCTCTGTATTAAGCTCTGAGCTCTGAAGCTGCAAACTAGTCTGCTCTGAACTCAGAACTGGAAATCGTTCTCTCTTCTGCCCATGTGTCTGCCTGTAACTTCTACCACGTTGGAAGAATCAGCTATTGGTATTGTACATTTATCTTCATGTTTTATATGTATATAAAGAAGTTAATGAATCCATCTGAATCAGTCATCCATGTGTGCTTTCTGGATTTGATTATTTCTGCAACAAACTCTGACAGAATGTTGAACCCTTCTCTCCCACCCTCAAACAGCTGTAACAACTGGACCCCAGAGGAGTGGCCTGGTTGCCATATAGTAAACATCAAGAAACTGCTATAGAGCATTAATTAAAGTCTGTAATGGTCTTTCCACCAGGAAAAACAAAACAAAACAAAACAAAACATGAATCCATCCAGGAACCAGTTAACCGATAAATCAAGAGAAGATGATCCAGGGGCAATCAACCTTAACTTTTTAACCACAAGGACCATAATCAGCCCCCAGTTCCTCTGACCATGGAAAAGATCAGGCAAGGAAGTCCAAAGGAAAAGGCCTTTGAAAAGGAACCATTTTGTAGGCCCCTCACTCTCAACAGAATGGCCCAGATCTGGTTAAGTGCATGGGATTAAATTTGGAACATGGATGGCACCCTTTCACACATCACTTTGTGTAGGTGTCCACTTAAAGGTAAAGGTTCCCCTCGCACATGTGTGCTAGTCGTTCCCGACTCTAAGGGGCAGTGCTCATCTCTGTTTCAAAGCCGAAGAGCCAGTGCTGTCCGAAGATGTCTCCGTGGTCATGTGGCCGGCATGACTCAACGCCAAAGGCGCACGGAACGCTGTTACCTTCCCACCAAAGGTGGTCCCTCTTTTTCTACTTGCATTTTTTATGTGCTTTCGAACTGCTAGGTTGGCAGAAGCTGGGACAGGTTTATTTATTTATTTTATTCGGCTTATATGCCGAATAAATAAGTGACGGGAGCTCACCCCGTTATGAGGCGTTAGGGATTCGAACCGCTGAACTGCCGACCTTTCGATCGACAAGCTCAGCATTTTAGCCACTGGGCCACCGCATCCCTAGATGTCCACTTAAGAAGGCCCTAAGTGCATGCATCACCTTAGAAAGCAGGACTTCACAACTTTGCTGCCCCACAACGTTTATCTTCCCCAGCTTTGACCCACAAGCATACCGAACATCCTTCAGACGGCCAATAATTTAATAAAATCAGTTAATACTGCTCAATAAATACATAAAGCGTATTTACTTGCCTTTTAGAAACACAAAATCTAGAACTTCAGGCCAAGTTAAGGATGATTGTCCCTTGATTATCTAAGGCAGAATCTGTCTGATGTATTGTTTTTTTTTTTTCTCTTTACATAAAGCAATCACATAAAAATAGTTATAAATAGAAAAATTTCAAAGGATTGCCCGCCCTTGCTACCACTTCCCCCCCCATATTCCATCATTCAAGAAATGTAACCCAAAAGGGAAAAAAAGCAAGAGGGGTCTCTCTTTTTTTTGCACCCAGTTCTTGTGGATTTTAACAGTCTTTAGAATCTTTGGATATTTTACAAGGACTCCGGGTTGGATAAGCAGCCCGAAAAAGGAAAAAAAACGAAGTCAAAATCCAAAACAACCCGCCCCCCCCCCCTGCAAAATAAGATGTAAAACAGTCACTCGGAAAGATAATAAACCAAGAAAAACGAAGTCTGCAGTTGCTGCTAGAAATTCTGTTTTGTTTTTTTTCCCTTGCATTTGTGGGAGCAAAGAAGAGATGTCTTTTGGGGTGTTTTGAAAAGAGTTCCGAAGGGAGCTTAATTTTCAAGACAGTCCTTTTTATAAAGGAAAAAATATGTTCTTCCTTCTTGACTGGGAACCAATGCAGTACTGGAGAACGGGTCTGTAGGTAGAGAAAAGAAAAACAAATACGCTTAATAATCAATATTTCCTCCCTATTTGTATTTGTTAGCGACATTTCTATGCTGCTGGTTTCCTAAGGCTCTGAGCAGCTAACCTTCAAAAAGATCTGCTGTCCATCAAAATAACGCCACCCTAAAATTTAATTATAATCTCAAGGGATTAAAAAATCCAAAGTCATGTGTCTAAGCAGTGCATCCCAACTTTCAGAGTATGCCTGTCACTTGGTCTAGATGGAAAACTTGGAGTCTTACCTGTTCTTCTGAACGCAAGGGGGAAGTGGTAGACTGGCCCCCCAGTGCTCCGTTTTTTTTGTTTTTTGTTTTTAAATTTGATTTATATGCCGACCTTCTCCGGAGACTCAGGGCGGCTTACAATGCGTTAAGCAATAGCCTTCATACTTTTGTATATTTATACAAAGTCAGCTTATTGCCCCCACAAACTGGGTCCTCAATTTACCTACCTTAGAAAGGATGGAAGGCTGAGTCAACCTTGAGCCTTGGCGAGATTCGAACCTGCAGTAATTGCAGGCAGATGGTCTTAATAACCAGCTTAATAACAGGGTGCCTTAAACCACTGTACTGTACTACTGTACACTGTACTACCAAGGCTCTTTTCACTGGCAGAGCGCTGCAGGAGGCTGTCACGGGCAAAAACGGAGTCTGGGAGGGCCGCGCATGGCCCTCCCGAGCTTCGTTTTCATTGGCAGAGGCATCGCAGGCTTGTCTTTTGCTGTTTCCAAGGCAGCCCCGCAGGCCAGATCTAAGCACCCCACGGGCAAGATCCAGGCCCCCAGGCCTTGAGTTTGACACCTCTGGATGAGAGCATGCCTGGCTAGGGAATTCTGGGAGCTGACGTCCACAAGTCTTGAAGATACAAAGGTTGGACACCTCTTGGATTAGAAGTTCTCCAACTCCTTCTAACCCTGATATTTTGAGTCTATAGCAAAAAAACCCTGTCATCTGAGAGAGCTGCCTTTCCCCACTTCCTAGCAGAATTGCCCACTTGTACCCCGCAAACATCCACAAAAGTCTGGGCAAGTTATTTTCTATAATTAAAAACTGGGATTTTCAAATTTTTCCTAGCAAAGTAAGCATTAGAGAGCAGCCATTGTACCTACCCAACCCATCCCTCGAAGAGAAGGCAACTCAGTTGCTAGCTTCAGAGAGAGAGGCCAGGGGGTTGAGGGCGGCCAGTCCATTGAACCCCGAGCCCCAAGGATCCGGGAGAGAGAAATACGGCCGTGCCGAGAGGCCCTCGCCGTGGCTCAGGGCAAAGGCAAAGAGGCCTCCGTTCCGTTCCAGGTCCAGGTGTGTCCTCCCAAACAGCTTCATCTGGGTTTCTTCCAACTGGTTCTCCAGCTCCTGCAGGTTCAAGCTGTTCTTGGCCACATCCATGAAGGGGCTGGGGCCCGGAAGGCACAGCCCGGGGCCGCCCAAGTGGCCGCTCATGTCTTCCAAAGATGGGGGCACCAAGAAACTCTTGTCATCCGGTTGTCCGGTGGGGGCGAAGAGCAGGCTGGCCGCTCTCCAGGGGGCTGACTTGCGTCCTCTTCTGGGTCGGGAGATCCGGCAACTCTGGCGCTTGATGTGGCGGTGCAGGTGATCCGAGCGGGTGAAGCTCTTGTAGCAGAACTTGCACTGGTAGGGACGGATTCCGGTGTGGATCCTCATGTGGTTCTTCAGGTCGTAGTTGTGGACGAACCGGGCGCTGCAGTGGATGCAGAGGTACGGCCTTTCCCCCGTGTGCTTCCGCATGTGGATCTTCAGCTTGTCTTGCCTGGCCAAAGGAGAAGAAGGGTTAACTCAGGGTGGATCACCAAAGCACAGAGTTGAAAGATCCCTGAGATGAGACAAGTAAGGAGCAAGCTCCCTCCTGAAGTTCTCATGGACACATGAAAGTGTTGAATTTACCGACAAAGAAATTGTGAAGGTGATAATTTAAGAGCTGATCAGCTGATGCCATGAGGGGAATGAGTTCAGCAGGGTTTTGGGCTGTTATCCCTTTAAGAGCCTGTGTAATAAGAGGAGGCCCTTGCTAGAGTGTTCGTTCGTTCGTCGAGTTTCTTCCCTGCTGTAATTGCTGTTTGTTTAGCTGCTGCTTGTAGCACATGTATGTATAGTATTCCTATATTCCTACTGTAGATTAAAATCACTATTTGATTTTAACACTTTTTTAATTTTTTTTTATTTTTACACTGTTGGCTGTACTTGCTTCGTGGGTTGATACACGGGATAGACCTGTGCACACTCTGACATAAATAAAGATAAAATATAAATTCAACACAAAAATAGTTAGTCGCGAAAGCGACTGCCTGCAAAGGCTCCTGGGTTGGGGCTGAAAGGCGAAAGCAGAAGCATTATGCTCTGTCCCATATTTCGGTAGATCAGGTTGCCCTGATAGACCGGTCTCACTGGAAAAAACACACATGAAGGCCTTGCCTTCTGCTAGAGCCGTGATGGCGATCCTGTGGCACGCGTAGCCATATCAATGGGCACACCAGCTCAGCTCTGGCGCGCATGCATGTGCTGGCCAGCTGATTTTCGGGCCTTCTGGGCCCACCAGAAGTAGGGAAACAGGCTGTTTCCTGCCTCCGGAGGGCCTGGGGTGGGTGGGAAAGACCCGTTTTTCTTTCTCACCTGGCTCCAGATCCTCTCTATGCGTCTGGGGAGGGCGAAAACAGCCTTCCCCACCCCCTCAGAGACCCTCCGGAGGCCCGAAACGGCCTGTTTCCCAACTTCCGGTTGGACAGGAAGTGACATTTTTTGCTGTCCCCAGCTTCCAGAGACTCCTAGAGAGAAGGGGATCAAACTATTTTCCAAAGCACCTGAAGGCCAGACAAGGAATAACGGATGGAAACTGATCAAGATTCAACCTGGAAATCAGGAGAAAATTTCTGACAGTGAGAACAATCAACCAATGGAACAGCTTTGCCTTCTGAAGTTGTGGGAGTTTCATCACTGGAAGCTTTCAAGAAGGGACTGGACTGCCATCTGTCAGAAACGGTGTAGGGTCTGCTTGGGTGGGTGGGGTTGGACAAGATGACCTACAAGGTCCCTTCCATCTCTGTTAATCTGTATCTGTATCTACCAAACAGGCCAAGAACCGAAGAAGCAGGGAAGCACCTTGGCCAGCAGATGGCAACACAAGCCCACATTGTCAAAGGAGTTGGTCCCAAAGCAGAAGGCTAGAAGAAGAAGCTATTGGCTTCCTTTGATGCTATCCCAACATCCCAGGAAGTCATCAGAAATAGTATCCACAAACCAAAGACTTTTGATCTTGACTTTCTATGCAAATATAACCATGTGGATTTGGGTAACTCACAATTCTCCTCCAATCTGGATCCAGGAGCTGCTTTAAGGATTCGTCAAAGTTTTAGCCAAGGTTTTATGCCGTGGTTTCACGCGGCATCCCTAATCACTTCCCCGAAATACCAAGGAGATACATTCAGAGAGTAGGGTGAACTGGCTAATTCGTTGCATGTTGGCTCTGCCCATGAGATGAACCCCAACCTGTTTGTCAGTTTAGTAAATCAAGAGTTGCATTCATCCAACGTACTACAGGTAGTTCCCGACCTACGACCACAATTGAGCCCAACATTTCTTTTGCTCAGTGAGACAGTTGTTAAAGTGAGTTTTGCCCCCATTTTACAAACTTTCTCACCACAGTTGTTAAAACGTTACTGACACCGTTGTTAATTTGATGACTTTTCTTGCCCCACTTGTTAAGTGAATCACTGAAGCTGTTAAGTTAGTAAACAGGGTTGTTAAGTGAATCTGGCTTCCACATTGACTTTGCTTGTCAGAAGGTCGCAAAAGGGGAATCACAGGACACCGGGATATGGCGACAGTCATAAATATGAGTCAGTTGCCAAGACTCTGAATTTTGATCATGTGACTACCCTGTTTTCCCGAAAATAAGACCCAACTGGAAAATAAGCCCTAGGATGGTTTTTCAGGATGCTCGTAATGTAAGCATCCCCCAAATAAGCCCCAGTTGTCAACCAGATGGATGCATTTAGTACCGTATTCCCTCCCCCAAAAATAAGACCCAACCAGAAAATAAGCCCTAATGTGTCTTTTGGAGCAAAAATTAATATAAGACCTGGTCTTATTTTCGTGGAAACACAGTATGAGGATATTGCAGTGGTTTTTAGTGTGAAAAATGGTCATAAGTCGCTTTTTTTCAGTGCTGTTGTAATTTTGGATGGTCACTAAATAAATGGTTGTAAGTCGAGGACTTCCTGTATGACAGTCCCAATTACAGTCCCAATTAAACCTTTAAGCACAAGGAGCCTTGGTGGCGCAGCAGACTAAAGTGCTGTTAAGTAGCACCAGCTGCCTGCAATTACTGCGAGTTCAAATCTCACCAGGCTCAAGGTTGACTCAGCCTTCCATCCTTTCGAGGGAGGTAAAATGAGGACCCGGATTGTGGGGGCAATAAGCTGACTTTGTGTAAAAAAAACCACCGCTTATGGGGGGCCCGAAAGCCCTACTAAGCAGGTATATATAAAAGTATGAAGGCTATTGCTTAATGCATTGTAAACCGCCCCGAGTCAGGCAACTCAGCTGGGATCGTCAGAGGCTTTTAAAAGCATTTTTTTTACAACCTCTTCGGATGTAGAAAAAATGGTTTTAAAAGTAAAAAAAAAAAAAAAGTTGACCACGCCCACCCAGTCACATTACACTCCCCCCCGCCAAGCCATGCCCACAGAACCGGTAGTAACAAATGTTACATTTCACCACTGCATCAGACCAACAATCAAGTAAACAACACCCCAATCAACAAACTGCCAGAGAAGCCAACAGCAAACAGCCCAATCTAAGAATCTCAAAGGCCACCCCCACCGACACTGATAGGCAAGCCACTAGAACCGTGATGACGAACCTATGGCACGCGTGCCACAGGTGGCACGCGGAGCCATATTGGTGGGCACTCGAATGTTGCCCTAACTCAGCTCCAGCACACATGCGTGCACCGATCAACTGATTTTCAGGCCTTCTGGTCCCACCGGAAGTCTGGAAATTGGCTGTTTCTGGCCTCTGGAGGGCCTCCGGGGGGATGGGGAAGGCTGTTTTTGCCCTCCCCAGGCTCCTAGAAAGCCTCTGGAGCCTGGGGAGGGCGAAAAACAGGCCTACTGGGCCCACCGGGCCATCGCATGCCAAAAGCAGGGGGAAGCGTGGGGGGCGGGGGTCTCATGCACAAAAGGGCGGGGTGCATTGAATTATGGATGTGGGCACACGCACCCGTGACCCCCCTCCACGCTCCCCCCACTTTTGGCACGTGACGGCAAAAAGGTTAGCCATCACTGCACTAGAATATAAACTGGACAGTTTATATCCTGGTTTATATTTATAGACACTAGAATATAACAGCCATCTGTCAGAAATAATATAGGGCAGTGTTGGCGAACTTTTTCGGCACCGAGTGTCGAAATGGGAGTGCGCACACATTTGCTGCAAACCGGAAGAGCAGCTGCCCAGTGTGCATGCGCGCACCGGGCAGCTGCTCTTCCGGTTTCCGGTACACGCATGCACTCCGGCTGCCTAGTTTTCTGGTTTCTGGCATGCATGCGTGCGCGAAGAACAGCTGTCCAATACGTATGAGTATGCCAGAAATTGGAAGAGCAGCTGCCTGGTGCTCATGCGCATGCCGTGAAGATGATCTTCACCACCTGGTCTTCTGGTTTCCGGCGCACCCGTGCATGTGAAGACCAGCTGGTTGGCACGCCGGAACCCGGAAGAGCAATGGACGATGGTTTGTTTGCCCGGAGAGATGGCTCTGTGTGCCACTTCTGGCACGTGTGCCATAGGTTTGCCATCACGGGTATAGGTTCTCCTGCTTGAGCAAGGGGTTGGACTTAACCTTAAGCTTCAAAGTCTGCTATTCTGTTCTGTTCTGTTCTGTTCTGTCCTAATCCTATTCTATTCTGATTTCTTATTCTGTTCTGTCTTGTCCTGTCCTAATCCTGTCCTAATCCTAATCCTAATCCTTGTTCTAGTCTATTCTGTTCTGTTCCATCCTAACCCTATTCTATTCTGATTTCTTATTCTGTTCTGTCCTGTCCTAATCCTAATCCTTGTTCTATTCTATTCTGTTCCGTCCTAATCCTATTCTATTCTGATTTCTTATCCTGTCCTAATCCTGTCCTAATCCTAATCCTAAAAGCCTTGCTGGTACAGTGGTCTAAGCACCCTGTTATTAACACAGCTGCCTGCAATTTACTGCTGGTTCGAATCTCTCCAAGGCTCAAGGTTGACTCAGCCTTCCATCCTTTCTAAGGTAGGTGAAATGAGGACCCAGTTTGTGGGGGCAATAAGCTGACTTTGTATAAATATGCAGAAGTATGAAGGCTATTGCTTAACGCATTGTAAGCCGCCCTGAGTCTCCAGAGAAGGGCGGCATATAAATCAAATTTAAAAAAAAAAATCCTAATCCTAATCCTGGTTCTATTTTATTCTATTCTGTTCTTTTCTGTTCTATTCACGTTCCATTCACAGCAAACAGCACTCCTTACTATCACTGATGATGTTACCTAGTTTGGTAATGAAACGTCTGCAAGAAAACCAGCAAGCTCAGAGAGCACCACCGACCCCTCATGTCAACTCTTGAGCTACATATGTTCTCCTTCATTAGTACCCCTGGTCTAGTCAACAGCTCAGGGATTTCCAGCTCAGCTTTCATCCAAAATCCCAACCAGCGGTGACCCTGTTTTACATGTTGGAGATCAGCCAAGGAGGGACAACCAAAGACTGATTGTGTGGAAGCTCTACAGCCAGAGATGGCTTCCTTCTCAATACCATGCAGGCTGTAGACGCAACTGGGAAGGTAAAACAAACATCCGGAAGGAGGCAGATGGAAAGCCACATCCGCATTACTGGCCCACAACCTTCATGGAGATTCCATGAAGTCACCAGGAGCTCAGCTGAAAAGAAACTTAAGTTTTCTTTGCTGAAACACCAACGGTTTGGATGTCATTTTAAGTCAGGGACGTTAGGCACACTCAGAACTTCTACATAAGACGAAGACAGGGTCCTGCCACGTAATGGACATGTCCTGAAAGAACCTGACCAGCTATGCTGGTGGCCATACGGAAGGACGGAGGTGGACAATTGTCTCCTCTTCCGTGCAAGGAGTTTCTGAAAAAGGAGAATGGGGCTGCAAGGTCGTAAACCTGAACATCGGTCATAAGTTACTTTTTTCAGTGCCATTGTAACTTTGGAGCGGTCAATAAACGGATGGTTATAAGTCAAGGACTATTTTACAACATTCCTTCCACCAACTAACAAACTCCTGCTATGGATGCCCATGACACTGTCTGTATGTATGTCTATCGTCCATTTGTGTCCGTCCGTCTGTCTGTCTGTCTACCTGCCTGCCTGCCTACCTATCTATATCATCCATTTCTTTCTTTCTCTCTCTCTCTCTCTCTCTCTCTCTCCCATTTGTGTGTCTGTCTGTCTATCATCCATTTGTGTCTGTCTGTCTGTCTATATCTATCTATCTATCTATCTATCTATCTATCATCCATTTCTTTCTTTCTTTCTATCTATCTATATCTATTTATCTATCTTTCCATCTATCATCCATTTCTTTCTATCTATCTATCTATCTATCTATCTATCTATCTATCATCTATCTATCTATCTATCTATCTATCTATCTATCTATCTATCTATCTATCATCCATTTCTATCTATCTATCTATCTATCTATCTATCTATCTATCTATCTATCTATCTATCATCCATTATCTATCTATCTATCTATCTATCTATCTATCTATCTATCTATCTATCTATCTATCTATCTATCATCCATTTCTATCTATCTATCTATCTATCTATCTATCTATCTATCTATCATCCATTTCTATCGATCTATCTATCTATCATCCATTTGTGTGGGTGTCTGTGTGTGTCTGTCTGCCTATCTCTCTGTAGTCCTCGATTTACAACAGTTCAGTTAGTGACCATTCAAAGTTGCAATGGCACTGAAAAAGGGGACTTACGACCATTTTTTACACTTATGACACTTGCAGCATCCCCAGGGTCACGTGATCAAAATTCAGATGCTTGACAACTGACTCATATTTATGACGGTTGCAGTGTGATGGGGTCACATGATCCCTTTGCGACCTTCTGACAAGCAATGGGGAAGCCAGATCCACTTAAAAACCGTGTTACTAATTTAACAACTGCAGTGATTCACTTAACAAACGTGGCAAGGAAAGTCATAAAATGGGGCAGAACTCATTTAACAAATTTCTCACTTACTTAACAACATACATTTTGGGCTCAATTGCGGTCATAAGTTGATGGCTATCTGTATCTCTATCATCCATCCATCCATCCATCATCCAATCATCCCTCCATCATCCATCAATCATCCATCCATCCCTTCATCATCCAATCATCCGTCCATCATCCATCAATCATCCATCCATCCCTTCATCATCCAATCATCCGTCCATCATCCATCCATCCATCCCTCCATCACCCAATCATCCATCCATCATCCATCCATCCATCAATCATCCATCATCCGTCCATCATCCATCCATCCATCCATCCACCATCCAATCATCAGTCCATCATCCATCCATCCACCATCTATCCATCCATCCATCCATCCATCCATCCATCCATCCTCCTCCATCCATCCATCCATCCATCCATCCATCCATCCATCCATCCTCCTCCTCCATCCATTATCCGTCCCTCTGTCCTTCTCTCCCTCCAAGCACATTTACCATCATTTCAAAAATATGCAGACCTGGTGAACCGGACTTCACAGATGTTGCACATATACGGCTTCTCCCCCGTGTGGGTCCTCATGTGCCGCGGGAGCTTCCCAGCCCCCATGATGATTTTGTTGCAAATGGGGCACTGCTGGGAAGCTTTGGGTTTGATCTTCCTTTCCTCTGGCCAGCGAGGAAAGACTCGGCCAAAGTGGGCGTTGCTCAGGAAGTTCAGGTAGGCGCTGTAATCGTTTTCAGCCTTGATGTGCCCGAAGGGGGCTGCGGCGGTGTTGGCAAACACGTCCTTGAAGAGGCTGTTGGGGAAAGGGGTGGGCAGCGGCTCCTCTTTCTCCTCTTCTTTGATCTTTTGCTTTTTGATCACCAGGTCCAAGGGGGTGTTGTCCACCTGCTGCTCTTCTACTTGGGCAAAGGGGCCAAAGTCTCCGTTCCATAGATGGGGGAAGAGCTCAGGCATGAAGGGAGACAGGACCGGCCTGCGTTCTGGAAGGGTCACTTTAGGATAGAGGTTCTCCCTTAAGAGGGATTCAATGGAGAAGTCTCGGATGACACCAAGTGAGCCATTGGAGCTGCTGGATGGAAAACGTGTGGAGAAGACATCAGTGGTATCTTGGAAGGGTTCCTCAGGAAGGTCTGGCTTGGAAGGACTTTGGTGGCAACTGAGGTCTTGAGCGTCCGATAGATTCCGATTGGCGAAGTCACCTGCTTCTTCTTCCTCCTCCTCCTCTTCCTCTTCTTCTTCTTCTTCCTCCTCCTCTTCTTCTTCCGCCTTCTCGCCTTCCACCGCTTCCCCAGGCTCTATTATTTCGAGGCAGACATTAATCACACACTGGATCTCCAGCATCTTGGCCGCGTTGAGGATGTGCTTGACGTTCGCCGTGGTGATGGTCAGAGTTGAGGTGTAGGCAAACTCAAGGATGGCCGAAAGGGCTTCGGGCTTGACGAAGTCGATCTCGTATATGTAGGGCTGGTCCGCTAAAGTGCCGGTGGTGAAGAGTTTTTTAAAATACTGGCTACAAGCAGCCAGCACAGATTTGTGGGTTCGGTATTCCTGATCTTGGACCAGGAGAATTACGTCGCAGAGAAGGCCATCGTTTCGTTGCTCGTTGAGTCCACAAAGGACTTCACTGCTGTGGTTTGGGAAGGGGATCCCGATGAGGTCCTCAATGCCATTGGCCATATTCTCCTGTGGAACCCTAGAAAGAGATACACAAGCAGAGACATACCGTTAAGTCAAGTTCCCTTACTTTACTATGGTGCAGTGGTTAGAATGCAGTATTGCAGGCTAACTCTGCCAACTGTCAGAAGTTTGATTCTCACCGGCTCAAAGTTGATTCAGCCTTCCATCCTTCTGAGGTCGGTAAAATGAGGACCCAGATTGCTGGGGACAATATGCTGACTCTCTAAACCAGAAGTCACCAACTGGTGGTCTGTGGACCACGAGAAAATTTTGGTGGTCCGCAGAAAAATTACTTGCATTTTTTATATTGCACTAAATACTATTTATCGTTTTTAAAAATTGATATTAGTGGTCCGCAGGATTTAAAATTATGAATTTGGTGGTCCCTGAGGTCCGAAAGGTTGGTAACTCCTGCTCTAAACCATTTAGAGACAGCTTTAAAACATGTGAAGCGGTATATAAATTTAAGTGCTATTGCTCTTACTTTCAGCCAGAAAAGCTACTGCTTGGCTAATGGAGAAGCCTCTCCAACAACCTGAATGGAGAAGACTTCACCCAACTCATTCCCCACAATTCAACCAGCGCATTTAGCACAGCTTGGAGCCCAGCCTCACATCCAGCTGCCCCAAATCATGACTCTGATTCCTGGATTCCCTCCAGCCGTTGATATTAAATCATCGCATTTCAGACGAGAGAAGGAGAACATTAAGAAATACACGAAATAATCAAAGTAGCTGCAAGCACTGCGGTTGAAATCAAATCAACCGGAGTTGTTCTTTTCGTTTCACCTATTCTTGGGAAGGAGGCCTTCGGCCTTTTTGGAACCCAGAATGCTCCCCCCCACATGCCAAAAAGAACTGCGGAGGAAAATTAAGATTGATTTGTTCTTCTTGACGTGCGATTTCTCCAGAACCGCTCTTTTCAAAGAGAGAGAGACAAGAATGGAATTGCAGGAAGAGCTGCAGAAGGCAACACTCAAAAAGTTGGGTCCTGTCCAGGGTGGATTTGATTTAAATCGAGTTGATTTAAATCACAATTTAAATCAGGATTTAAATCACTAGTAAAAAGGCTTGATTTAAATCAACTCGATTTAAATCATATTTTTTAAAGAGCAACTGTCATCTCTGCTACTCCTTTGACCCACTGTTGACTCACCGATAGTCCCAGTGTTGCAGAATATACAGCCTCCTGCTACATAACTAAGCTCCATTTCATACTGAATAAACTAAATTACTTATGTATCTTAAATAGAAAACTATCTTACGATAGATTTTTACCCCAAAAGTTTATTAAAATAAATTCGATAAAAATAAAAAAAATCCAATTTAAGTCAAAAAAATCCAATTTAAATAAAAAAAATCTGATTTTTTTGATTTTTTTAAAAAAATCATTGATTTTTATCCACCCTGGTCCTGTCACTCTCGCTTGTCCAACCTACCCGACCACTGCTTTAAGTCTGCTCTTCGGGGACTTTCCAATGTTTATTAAGGAGGCTCGGTGGGAGTTTGCTGCTCACTGCAAAACGCCCCCCTCCTGTGTCCTTCAAAGCCCTCCACCTTCTCATCTCATCGCGCGCACACAAATACCCTCCCTCCCTGGCATTTCCCCTCCCCTTCGTGGTCTCCTCCATCTGCTCTCCCTGCCTTTATCTAGAGGGATTCCAGCAAACAGAACCGACCGCTTCCCATTATTCTCCTGAGACTTTGGTTCCCCCCACCTTCACATTTCATCAACCCTCCCACTGGAACATCAAAACATCTCCCACATTCTGTCCTTTTGACATTCTCTCCCCCTCCTCCCCCTCCCCATGTGCTTGAGGTGGGTTGGAGTTCACCATGGAGAGTTAGGACCCGCATGGCTTCCCTTTGAGACAATCCCAGAGGCTACTTTGGAGGAGGTCTACTGAGATTCTCGGGTCGTGGCAATCCTAAAGGTGCTTTTCGGTCTTGCCTCCAGAAGCTGTGACTCCAACACTGGAAGTTTTTAAGAAGAGGTTCGATAATCCTTTGTCTGAAGTGCTGTAGGGTTTCCTGCCTAAGCAGGGGGTTGGACTAGAAGACCTCCAAGGTCCCTTCCAACTCTGCCATTCTATTCTGTTCTGTTCTATTCTATTCTCTATATTATATTCTATTTTCTATTTTCTATTTTCTATTTTCTGTTCGGTTCTATTCTATTCTGTTCTGTTCTGTTCTGTTCTATTCTATTCTATTTTCTATTCTATTCTATTCTATTTTCTATTCTATTCTAGTCCATATTTTGTATTCTATTCTATTCTATGCTATGCTATGCTATTCTCTATTCTATTCTCTATTCTATTCTATTCTCTATTCTATTCTATTCTCTATTCTATTCAATTCTATTTTCTATTCTCTATTCTATTCTCTATTCTATTCTATTTTCTATTCTATTCTATTGTAGTCCATATTTTCTTTTCTTTTTTCTATTCTATTCTATTCTATTCTATTCTATTCTATCCTATCCTATCCTATCCTATCCTATCCTATTTTCTGTTCTATTCTAGTCCATATTTTCTATTCCATTCCATTCCATTCCTATCTTAAAAAAGTAACTTATGACCATTTTTCACACTTATAACCATTGCAGCATCCTCAGGATCACGTAATCAAAATTCAGCCACTTGGCAACTGGGTTCCTCTTTACGACGGTTGCAGGGTCCCGGGAGTTCATGTGTGATTCCTCTTTTGTGACCTTCTGACCCAACAGAGTTAACGGGGGAGCCAGATTCACTTAACCGCCGTGTTCCTAATTTAACCTGCAGTGATTCACTTAACAGCTGTGGCAAGGAAGGTCGTAAAATGGGGCAAGACGTACAAGTGTCACGCTCAGCAACATAAACATCCGGGCTCCATTGCGGTAGTAACTCGAGGACGGCCTGCATTGCCTTCTCCTTTCCCAAATGATGCCTTGCGTGTCAGCAACTTTGCCTCCCTCCAAAGAAAACTCCCTTTTCTGATGGTTGGACAAGCCTTGGTGGCGCAGCAGACTAAAGCGCTGTTAAGTAGCACCAGCTGCCTGCAATTACTGCAAGTTCCAGTCTCACCAGGCTCAAGGTTGACTCAGCCTTCCATCCTTCCGAGGTAGGTAAAATGAGGACCCGGATTGTGGGGGCAATAAGCTGACTTTATATAAAAAAGAACACCGCTTGGGAGGGGGGGCGAAAGCCCTACTAAGCAGGTGTATACAAAAGTATGAAGGCTATTGCTTAACGCATTGTAAGCCGCCCTGAGTCTCCGGAGAAGGGCGGCATATAAATCGAACCAATAATTAAATAAATTGAACCAATAAGAACAACATATCCTTCCAAGAGCACCAGCTAAGGAAAAAAAAAACCCCGTTGCCTACCGGTATTGCCGCGCTTAGGGATTGAACTTAAAACACACCACCCACCGTGTCTGGTGGGCACGGAGAACTAATATTATCCTCCACCTACCCTGCCAGCAACTATCACAATTGCCACCTGCGTTTTCTGGCTGCACATGAAAGAGAGCGTTTTCCATCCTCCGCTGAACTCAGGGTTGAACTTTCTGCTTTTGGTCCTGCCTTTTGATTCCTTATATGATTTATCTGCATCCTGCTTTTATTTCATTCAAGGTGGCGTACATAAGGCTTCCCTTTCCTACTGGGTTTAACAACAATCCTGCACGGTGCCTTAGGGGTCAGGGGTGAAATTCAGCAAGTTCTTAACTAAGTTAAAAATATATATTAGGGATACTGTGGCTCAGTGGCTAAGGCGCTGAGCTTGTCGATCGAAAGGTCGGCAGTTCAGCGGTTCGAATCCTTAGTGCCGCGTAACCGGGTGAGCTCCTGTTACTTGTTCCAGCTTCTGCCAACCTAGCAGTTCGAAAGCACGTAAAAAATGCAAGTAGAAAAATAGGAACCACTTTGGTGGGAAGGCAGTGGTGGGATTCAGCCGGTTCGCACCACTTCGGGAGAACCGGTTGTTAACTTTCTGAGCAGTTTGGCAAACTGGTTGTTGGAAGAAATCATTAGGGCAGAGAACCGGTTGTTAAATTACTTGAATCCCATCACTGTGGGAAGGTAACAGTGCGCCTTTGGCGTTTAGTCATGCCGGCCACATGACCACGGAGACGTCTTCGGACAGCGCTGTCTCTTCGGCTTTGAAACGGAGATGAGCACCGTCCCCTAGAGTCAGGAACGACTAGCATATATGTGCGAGGGGAACTCTTACCTTTAACTAGTTACGTTATGCTTGGTTAGCTTCTATGCAGTTTACCAGATTGTAGCAATTTAAAACTTTATCAATTACTGCTCAAGATACTGTTTGAAGCAGTGGTGGGTTCCTCCCGGTTTGGTCCGGTTCGGCCGAGCCGGTAGCGGTGACGATATGACGTCACTGAACCGGTTCTCCCCCCCGCCCTCCCACATTATTCTTACCTTTTATTTGGTCCCACCCCCAATCTATTGCTGCCTCCTGACTCCCAGCTGATGACTAGAGGGAAAAAAACTGTTTAAACTCTTGCCGCGGGGCTTCAAAGGGCTGTCCTACAGCTGATCAGTGTTAAAAGCAAACAAATGAGTCGGGTCGTAAGTGCGAGGACTGGTCATAAGTGCGAGGACCTTCCAGAAATGACTCTGACCAGCTAGCCACGCCCACCTAGTCACATGACCTCCAAGCCACACCCACAAAATAAGCCACGCCCACAGAACCGGTAGTAAAAAAATTTAGAACCCACCCCTGGTTTGAAGACAGAAACAGGAACCAAACATTTTGTGAAGACAACCATTCCGAATTTTTAAAAAACATAAGAGTACAAAGTTTAAAAACAATTAAAAAATATATTAAACAATTTGGCCCAACAATTAAAATACCCCATTTAAAATTCAAATAAAATTAAACCATTGGAGAGTTAGGCCAGCCCGGCTTGTTGAAATAAAAAAGTTTTGAGGGCCCGGCGGAAAGTACGTAGATCCGGAATCGTCCGTATCTCCGGGGGGAAGCTTGTTCCAGAGGGCAGGTTGTGAGTACAGCATTCA